GGAAGTTCAATTTAATCAAATCATTAAAAAGTGAAGAATGAAAATCCTGAATGCCACTTAAAATTGCAGCAAAAATTTGAATTAATAAATTGAAGAGTTAGGTTTAAAAAATTAACCCTCAGGTAGTGGATTATTCAAGACTCAGTCTTCAATCTATTTTATATTAAATTGAGACTGTAAAATTGATTATTATACAATAATTTGAAAGGAAACTACATCTATAAAGGAATAATCAATTATGCAAAAGAAATATTTTGAAATTATTTGAAATTTGAATCATTTTACAGAATTTTTTCTAAGCTTCCATAAATTTGAAAATTAACGAGTTCTTTTCTGAAATAATGAAACTCTTTTCTGAAACATTGCAATGCTTGCTGATATAATTTATAATAATTTATAATCAAAAATTTTTATTGTATGTTTTGTATGTTAATGAGTATCTATATATGCTTTTATATTGAATTCACGTATTATTTATGTCATTAGAAACAAGAAGTCCTTCAACTTCATACTATTCTATTATACGTAGGTGAAAGTTCGGAATACATATTATGAACTGTACATTGTCTTCCTACAATCATAAGAATAACTGAGATCGTTAAGACAAAAGAGCGGACGTAGCGTTTAGGAACACTTTCTGAACATAATTTTCATCAAAGAAACTAGCCTATTATTCGAATGCACTCACGACCACTTATGCACTATACATATATACAGTGCATTTAGAAGGAAGACTAAGCATGTCGAAAGAAATTTTGCATAATTTATTTTCGAGAAGAAAATTGAGGAAGCATTATCAAAATTAGATTACTTTCTCTCACAAGAATAATTAATAATATACTTCCAGAAATGTGGAAAATGTAATATGAAGATCAAAAATATGAAATATCAATAAATAGAAATATTAGATTGTTGCACATTCACATTATTAAAAAATTACGACAACCGTTTTTAGAAATCAATCTATATTTTATTCTATTATTGCAAGAAACGGATATTGAATTTATTTACCAAGAATTGTTCGAATTCAACTGATTCTGACAATGAGACGACTTTATCATCGACAGATGAAAGCAACACGGAATGAGAACGAGTGAAAGAACAGATATCCCGGTTGCTTGCACACGTGCTGATAAATAATAAATCAGCATCTCGATGTAAGAGAAAACGAATTAGCATAATTTTCATTCCTACCTGCAAGATAAATTTTTATGAATTTTATTCTCGTACACTTGCCGGAAGCCTATTAATAGGCTTATCAGTTAATGACTTATAATCAATTAATAAACCTTTGATTATTATTAATTCATCTATAATTCAATTGATATACTAAAACTTGGGTGTACTATAAATGTTAAAAAATTAATTGCAAAGAAGAGTTATACATTTCAATCATTAACTGATATTAAATTATAAAACGATGCATTTTGTAAAATTTTGACCATTTTATAATTTTCACTATCTCCAGAAAGATTTGATAGAAAGTAAAAATAGAAATTTTGTTATAAGATTTCTATTTTCATTAAAGTAGGAAAATATTTGATTTTAATACAAACAAACGAATGTGGAATAGTTGTCTGGCAAATGTTTACTATTCTTGTCACTCTATCTTTGCACCTGGGCAAATATTTATTTTGTAAACACTTGTATGTTCTTTTGGTGTGTATTAATTATTGATTATTCCACCCCATTTTAATTAATACTCCATAGGTGTACATTTACTTAATTGAAAATTTATTTCCAAAAGATCTCAGTAACTCGAATTATTAAAATAGTGGTATTCTATCACTACTGATCGGTAGATACACTTTATATTCATAAAAAGGGTAATTAATTTATACACCTAATAATTTCATCACTGAAATGCAAACATAGAAATCGACACTTTCCAAGAATAATTTAATTTCCCTAATTGCTTCAATTACTTTTGCCTCTCGCTTTGTACAACATAGTACAGTTTAAAATGAAGAAGAAAAAAAAGAATTCTTCGCTGGAACCGAGTGCTCTCGTTCTTTCTGTGCAGAAAAGTTTCACCAAGTGAAACCTTGTGACGCCTCTCTGCCTTCCTGTCCGAGCATCGGCGACCTCGTTAGATCAATTTGCTAACGTTTTGCACCCACGAACCGGCCGTTATTCCATCGCGGATAAATTGACGGCGTGAATCGCGTTGAATAAACAGGAAATTAGAAACGTAATTCCCGTCCCGCGGCTTCACGCGTCGACCGTTCCATTGGGTTCCATTGAAAAATTACGCCTCCAAATTAGCTCAATAAAAAGGGCCAACTATTGATTTCAAAATCTCTACGGAGAACTCGCTATTTAACACTTCAATTGATACACCAATATTTTATTTTCACTAAATTTCGTCTAACTTCGTTTGTTTCGAATTTCTTTAACCCTTTAACTACGGTCGCCTCTATCGAAAATTCCTTTAAATAAAATAATTTTAAGTTTTATTAATCTGCCTAAGCGTTGTTTATGCAAAGTCAGGACAGATTATTAATTAAACAAATGATGTGCCAAAGAATAATGTATTTGCAATAGCGAACCTTTACACGCAGCAACGCGATGTTCCCAGGACGAAGCTCGATACGTGACTGAAGATCTGGTGACGTAAAGTCTGCTGACTGTTGATGTAAACAGAGAAAGGAACAGGACGATACGCATGTGTGTATTCGTCTATAACGATTCTAATTTTGCTGTTACACGTATTTCCTATAGGGGTGCGCGGATACTTGAATTTTCCGGCACCCAAGCCTCGAATCGACTCGGGTCAACTCGGGTCGGGTAATAATCACGTCGACTCGGGAGGGATCCCAAAAATTCGTCCAGCACATTTTATTCGAGTACCCGTAATTTCGGGATCCGAAGCGGACTCGAATTTTCGGGTACCCGCCTACCCCGAATCTCTTACAATTAAAAATTTTATAGCGCAAGTGTTTTTGTTTTTCTATTGTATACTTGCTTTTTTGATAAAAGTAAATTATACTTGGCATTGGAAGATTAATAGCGAAAGGGTTGAATAAATGTATTTATATGCTGCTTTGCAATTACATTATTTTCTCTAATTAATTTTTCTACAATTATTTATTTGAACGTCATAAATCATTTCTCAATAATTATGCAAGCGTAACCTCCAGTTTCTATTTTTTTTTTTTTTCTAAAAATCACAGCAAATTTCACCGGTTTCGAAAACAAAATTTATCTATACAAAAAATATACGCGATACACGGTTATTAACTCGGCGAGTATGATTTAAAAGCAGTTAACGAACACGTGAACGGTAATGAGGCAATTATGCGTTAAGTGGAGTATTGGTATCGTAAATTTTGTTAGATTTAAAGCTACCTGCAAGAAGAGAGCGTTGATGAAACGGGGTCTCGGCTCGTTCTAATTCTGCCTTAAATTTTATCTACGTTAAGTGCGTTGGAGAGACGTCGTTATAACCCGAAGTGGAAAAAGAATATCGGTCTTGTTCTTCAGCGTGTTCATTAGTATTCCGGGCGATGCATTTCTAGTGGTCGACTGGGAGACAAGTAAAATGGGTCCCCCAATCATAATTTCATTCCGGATGCAAATACCTGGTCCGTTCTTAAAAGCACGTCACTCCGTGAAGAAAAAGGAAAAAAGAAAAACAGTAGCACTCCGGGAATCGAGGCGACAAAGTGTACAATCTTTTCTGCTCGTCTGCCTAATTGGCGGAAAGTTAAGCAAGTACCGAATACGAAATGCGAATCGCCACCGATTTTGCATAAATGGAACAATAGAAAGTAACGAGACATTTTGCAAGTGTGATTTTATCCCGTTACGAGGAAAGTTTGTTTCGAAAAATTATGCACTCTTTACGAGTTACATTGGTCCTATACTGGGGTACCGTTACGAAGTACCGAATATTAATTTATCCTTCGGAAAAAGCCGAGTTTATTACATGAAACTTAAAATCGGACTCTATTGTACAAAAAGGTAAATGGCTATTTGTCAGGAATGCTAAAATGCCTTAAATCAAAAATAGCCTTTCGTCGAGGAACTGTCATAAACTCCCTTTAGAAATTCTCGCGCATCTGTTTCGTTGAATGGTTGGAACAGTCCTTGATATACTTAAGTATGTTAACCCTCAGAGGGCGGATCAGGGAGAGAGCCGCAAAACGGCAGGCCATGCACAGAGCCCTAATTTTATTTTCTAAATTTTACACTGACCCAGGCTCTGCTGTTCAAGGGCGAAAATTTCTTAAATTAAATAATAATAAACATTATTAACTTTTAAGTAGAGCGTTGCGAGCCGGACCGACCTAACTTACCTTAGGTCAGTGGTCCGATAGGTTAGATAGATTAAGTGTAGGTTTGGTAGAGTTAGATAGGTTAGGTCAGTTAAATTGGCCTCTGGCTAATAACAAACCTAACCCAATTCAGTCTGAATATCAATCATGTTGATTAACAGAAAATAATTGCTTGCACGTGCAAGCGAACGTAATTGCGTATGCTGACCGACCTAAAGTGAGGAATCTACGCTTCAACTTGCTATTTCGCGACTAGACTTGGAATGAGTTTCCTCGCTGGCTTGCGAACCTACACGAAGATAAAAATGCATATGCTAGTTGACGGTACCGTAAAGGAAACCTGAACAGTAACGTATCTATATTTCTTTCGCTAAGTGTTTCTTTCGAATTGTCTCAGATCCCATTAAATTTTAAACATTACACATTGTTGATATTTTATTTTTTATCCGTTGAATTCAATAGCTAGGGATTCAACAATCCCTAAATATTGAAATAATATTACTTATAAATCTAGAAATTAAAATAAACCTATTTTCAACATTACGCCTTGAAGAGTTCATAATTATAAATGCCACTTAAAATGTTAATTGTAATATCGGTCACTAGGGACCTCCGTAACATTCAATATACCAATAAAAACATTGCGATTAACACTGAAAGGGGTAAATGCAGTTATGCTAGAAATCATGAAACAATGATAACGTGCGGTATCGTAACACTCACCCAGTGTCCCCGATGTAATCCAGCATACGTATCTTCAGCATCTCCGCGGCTTTACTTGCACAGTCACATACGAAGAAACTCGAAAGACAATCGAACTTATTATCGTGCGAATCGCGAGATTCCCAAGTTGATGCGAAGAAAACAACAGAAGAAGAGGAAGGTGGCCGATATACCAGCGGTCTCTAATGCGACGAATCAAACGGTACCACGTCCTCGATGCCTCGAATCGAAAATGCGTCTACGTGACTCACGTTCGAAAGTGTGTATACACCTGGATGATACTTCAATTGCGTTATCGGTGACGTTTAACAGCGGCCAACGAATCGGACAGTCCGTAGCGGAGAATCCTTTGCGATTCGTCAGTTCGATTTTCATTCAGTTCCACGAAATTATTTATCGTTGCGGAACTTCTGCTGTGTATATTCAGCCTGTTTGTTGCGATTAATTTCGAATTTTGATTCCTGGCGAATGGAAAGCGCGCACTCGCGATTTTTAATTATCCGGATGATGCAGCGTTTTTTTTTTCTTTTTTTTTAAATGTACCGTACGAGTTTCATATTTTGCTAGTTCGAAGGAATCCTCTTGCTTAATTCTTGTTCGATTTTCGATTCCCCCGAGTGCTTAATCAGACTCCTGTTGGATGGCAGAAAAGAGGAAACCGAGTCAGCCTTACACTTCCGCCAACGCGTGATATCCTGTGACGTGAAACTTTGATAAATAACAGTCGAATGCAAGGTTCTTTCTTTCGTTTCAGTCTTACGATATTTAACACGGTCAGTGTTGTATGGAAATTTAAGGTTTACGATAAATATTGTAAAATTATTAAATTGCCAACTTTTCCTATATTTTAGCCAAAAATAGATTGAATTTTACCACAGGGTAGCCCAAAAATTATCATAAATATACAAAACTTATTGACTCGAGCAGAACTTATTTTGATTAAAAATTATTATTCGTTGTATTTTAATGAATAATTCTGCAGGGGAAAATATGAAAAAAATAGCCACAAGTTTTGCTTTATAGGTTTCAAAATCGATTATTGTTAGCCAAATGTTAGCTTTAAATTGATATAGCACAAGTGTTATTTTGTGATACTTTTATGTCACCCAATCAAGTTCGACTTTCTACGTTTCAAAATCTATCATTCGATATACAACGACCTGATACAATTAAGATCCATGAGTCTATCGCGAGGCCAAGTTTCAATTTAATGTTCATTCTGATTTAGCTGTCTCTATTCTAGATATCTGTCGTGAATATAAATTTCTTCAAACTATAAGTAGTACAGTTGATGAGTGTTCCGATTGAGCTTTGAATATTGATGCACGAGGTATAGAATTGAAAGTGAGTTATTAAATACCAGCCTGAATCGCGTTTCAATTCCCAAAAGAATTAACGAATTTATGGTACGATGCATTCGAATCGATATAAATCCTTTTTTATCGATAAAAATATTTGCCCATTGTTCTACCTTTCAAAGTTTCACGTAGATTTTTAACGAGGTTTCGACTTTAAATGAAACAGCTATGAGTAGTTCGATTTTATTTTAACAGTTATTGTTCTTCTCCACTTAAAATACCTAAACATTTATTTTATAGTTTAAATACAGAACTGGGTAAAATTTGAAAAAAAAAGAAGAATATTTAAAAATTAAGTTTTAGATGCTACAAGATTGAAATATTAGATCCAAAGCATAAAATAAATTATTTTAATTCAAATCTAATAAACTACTTACTATTTTACTATTATAAATAATTTTAACTTGGACCTCCTTCTGGAATAGGTTCTTTAGAAATTAAGAAATTCTGCAATTTTGCAATTTGCAAGGTCTGAAATTTTGTAATCTGCAAACTCTGGAGTTTTGGAATTCTAAATTCTGGAATTCCGAAGTTTAGAAATTTAGAAATTTTCGAATCATTAAATTTTGAAATGACGAAGGTCTCTAATATTTCTAAGAGATACCAATGCAGATTTTTAGCCTCTATCTAGTTATGCCAATGAATGAAGAACTCAGAAATTAACCACTCACAGCTGTCGCACATTTTAATTTCTCAAATTTGATTAACGACGTTTCAAATTAATTACCTGTCTTATAAATATATATTACTCTTAGAAACTGTCCAGCTACACTATTCACTTAACACTGAACACTTATAACACTCGACAAAATAACACTTTTTAAATATCACTGCTTCTTCCTGCGATGACATAATACTGTCAGCAATCTCTTTCAACTTTTTATTTCTAAAGTTTCCTCGAAATGAAGCTTGAACTTCTTTATGAAATAATTAATAAAAATTCAGATAATTCATCATGAATCCCAAAGTTTTAACAACAAACAAGTGCAACGTTTCCGTGGAGTTTAATTCTGTCTTAAAAGAAGTAATGTATGTCAATATATGCAGGCCTCATTTTCCTTCCTTCCATCTTAGGTAGTTCGAAACTCGCTTAACCATCGAATACCCTCGATCCTTCTTCCGGAATAACTTTTCCGAACTTCAACAGAATTATCCTCGAGAAGAATACAGTTTAATTGCACCGTCGATACTGCGTACGACCATAGAATTTAAATAACAATCCCTCATCAGGCAGCAAACAAACTGACGTAAAGAAGATTCATCATTATTTTTGTCCGCTATTCACTTCAATTAGTCTTTTGATTTACAATATCCTATTAAAAACTGAAGTTCCCTCATGCTCGATCGCGATAAATGTAATTCTCTCCCTCTTCTCTCATCCTATCCCCGCGGTAGAATCGAAACTGCTGTGCATCGCGTCTATTAAAAACGATCTGCTTCAATTACTCGACAGACGTTTCTTCGTCGTACCGTTAACAGAAGTTCTCGTCAACAGTGGAAGGCTGAGAGCTGTCACGGGATCGTCTTAGAATCGCGTTAGAACAGTTTTTTTCCCGAGCCGAAGAAGAAGGTCGCCTTTGGATGCTCGTTAACCGAATAGAATCGAAAGGGGTAGGTTTACCGTTCAGCTCGTTACGCGTTTCGTCGAATCACGATTACGCGTATACAGCCAGGATACACGTGGATACCGTTATCGTTCGCGATCGATTAACTCCCTTGATGCGTTTCTTCGGTGGACGCGGCGGAGCAAGAGATCGCGGACACGGAAGGAACTTTCTTACCCGCGCCTTCCTTTTTCTGCCAGTTTACCTGTGCCCGTCCGCTGGAACCGCCCGTCCCGGCAGATAGTCCGACGAGGGAAACACGCGATAACCTTACCACGCGATCTACTATCTCTACTTTTCACGATCTCTCCTATTTTCCATAATAAATTACTGAAAAGTATAATAGAATTTCAAGGCTGGCCGCGTAATTGAATGGTACCGCTAAGTTTATCTCGGTTTTATCATAAGTCAACATCCCTAGTCGTCTGTACGCGCTCTAAAACAACGTTTTTCTCTGTTTCTTTCTCCGGTTTTGTGCAACCGAGATTTCGAGGAAACGATTTCCGTTCACCGAACCTCCGGAGATAGCCTTGCCTGATAACGTTCGAAGGAAGGTTGATAAAAAACGGCGATAAAGGAAATAGAAGGAATTAATAAAGCACAGATACAGAGCGTTGCGTTCAGTCATTGGAAAGCGTACACCCGGACGATTCGAGGTGCAAGTTACTTTACACCTTGGAAATTAAACGGCGGACAGACGTAGAGTAATTACCGTTAGCGATGCGGTAATTACCGGCGAGGCAAGTGACTCGTTATGGTCGCGCGAGACGCGATTTTTCCACTTCGCGCCTGCCTTACGGATCCATTCGTTCGGCTATCGCCTCGTTGGAAGGAAGAAAAACAAAAAAAGAATTATTCAAAATCAGCCGACGGTACATCGGCGACCGCTAATTGCTTGTCATTCAAGCAATTAACGAGCGACCGCGCGATAACATTGTTCGACGCTTCGGTTAAACTGTTTCGATGCAATTGTTCCGACGCTTCAATTACTGTTTTTCATTCGATTCGAATCCATTTATCTTGGCGCGAACGTTTCACGAATCGCGGTGGCACCGTTCGCTCGATTTACTTTGCACCACGTTCACCGCCGGGACCGAAACTTTCTCGCGGGCAAATAGCACCGAGGAGGCTTCCATCGATCCGTCGATCGATCGATCGATCGATAAAAAAGAAGCGGTATAGGCACGCGCTACGAGAACTGACAACGGATCCAAGTGCCGCAGGACTGTTTTAGTGGCTGCTCAATGCATCGCCACTGGCAGTCACTCCCTTCTCTCGATCTCCGACAACCGTCTCTCCTCTCTTTCCCACTGACGATCGTACACGCCACCTCCACCTCCGCAAACCACCTCCAGTCGTGGAGCTGCAGGCTTTACGAGAGGCCTGTGGAGGGAACGCAGCGCCGCGTGAAACACGCGTAGACTTAGCCGATTGTGAAGACCCTGCCGACCGACGCTGACGATCGACAAAACTATCGGTACGGTATAGGTAATCGGCGATTTGTAAAAGTGGATGTTAAGTTAGTGAAAAATATTTTAACCTTCGATTAGAGCTACTTGTTGATACTTAGTTCTTGGAATCTTTTGTGTTTTTAATTTTTTTTTTTTTTTTTTTTTTTAGGTTTTTTCAACCTCTAATTGCAATAATATTATTAGTTTGATATTTTGATAGGATTAATTTTGGATAGCTGAAATTTAGTACTTCAGGTCGCGTTGCTTTATTTATGCTGGTAGGGAACGTGTTAACACGTTTAATATGCAGTGTCATGTAGACTTCTGTGCATAAGTCATGGGACGCCTTAGGGCTTAGGGACACTATACGTAAGATGATCATGTTTTATATGTGACGTTTTTGGTTTCCTATATGAAATTATAATTTTTCGTTTGTATGCTTTAATGCAGATGAAGATCAAACTCTATCATCCATAGCTTGAAATTGTACTGTTTTATGTTGTTTTGTAAAAGTCGAAGAGATCTGTGATAGACTAATTTCTATTATAATTACTTAAGTGCTGGTAACACATATACGAATTAATTTGCAAAAAAAAATTAGTAGATATTTGTGAAATTTTGAAAGTTGATTATTTCCTAGTTTTCACTATAAATTATACAATTAACGAGCGTGTGTCATACTTTCTGTGCCTATTTATTCACACGAAAGCTGGAAATTTCTAGCAAATCACTGTGTAATACTTTCTTTTAAATCAAAAGTAAACGATATTGATAATGATAGATAAGAAATTTGTGCAAAAATTGAATTGTAATAATTACTGGTAGTTATTATTTATAAAATACCACGCCAATCTTTTGTAGATAATAATAATTTTGGTAATGAATTTTTAGCACTTTCTCAACAAATAATATTAATAAAAACTTTAAAAAAATTTTGTTATTACATAACAAATTACTACATTAAATCTGTTTTATTATTTGAAAAATAGAAAATAGAAAAATCTTTCTAACACATTAAAAATTTATCAAATTTAAAAAATATTTCAAAACATGTTGAAATTCTTAAATTATTTAAAGTAGAAGAAATACCTTTTTTTCTGAAAGCTGATTAAGAAAAATGAACTACATAAAAACAAGAAAAATTTCCTGTTATATTCAACGCATGATTAGTTTTTGCCACCAACTTCCGACAACCCTCATCGTTGTTCCTCTTCATCCGTTATCCTCCCTCGCAAATTCGCATCGTCTCTGCTTTCACTTTCATTCGGTAGAGAAGCTTTCATGCAACACCCAGAAGGACTAACGTGCGCACGTATAAAATGGAACTCGATTCAACGATCGAAGAGAATTTATTCATCTGTTTTTGTAAAGAAAAGAAAGTTGTATTTTCCGTAAGGATTGTGTAAACCCTGGTGAAATCTTTGTTTCTTACTCTTCTCTACGTAACACGATTATTCTTACATGATTCTCCTGACGTTTAAAAGAAGCACTCTGAACATCATGCAGTTTAATTAATAGAAAAAAAATGAGTACTTTTCAAGAATAAAAGTGTGAAGAATTAGAATATGTTATTGCAAATTTCCAGTTTTGAAAGACAGAAAGACTAATACAATTTGATAGAATAAAAGTGCTGCAAAATGACACTTAATTTAAAACTTAAAAAATTTTAAAGTGTCCAGAATTAATTCCATTAGTGTATATTGCATCAGACTTCATTATTTGCCTTAACTAATTAACTTTGCGGTAAGAATATTAATGAAAAACATGTAGTCGTGTTCAAAAATTCCTAAGCTTAAAATTAATGTAACACGTGTACCATTTTACGGTACTTTTATGTCATCAAATCATGTTTGACATGCAATAACATAAAATTTAATTTATCTTCACACTTCTTATGATATTTATTATATACCATCACGTGTACCGTTTTCATTTGATAAAATATTATCTGGTAGAAGTTAATTGATGTTATGAAATTAAATTGAATAACAGGAAACGAAGAAGAACTCGTTCCAGAAACGCATCGTGTACGCACGAGTATCACTCGTACGAACGTTTGGAAAAATCTTCAGTCGATCAACCTACAAAATTACGGTGAACGGTTTCGTACGCCTTTTTTTCACATGAAAAATAGTGCACAACTTGTGTAACGTTTGGATTATACATTATTCGTATGGCAATCAACTGCTTAGGCAATCTTGTCAATTGTACGTTATTCGCACGCGAAAGAAATCATTCGACGGATAAAGAACGAGTTTTACAGTTTTATTGCATGCATACTGTGCTTCTGTTCAAACTGCAATAGCGTGAAACAAATTTTTCTATTTTGCTTTCAAGCTATGATTTTAAATGCATTTGTATCTTGAATTGTTGAAATTCAAGCCTGAAGGACGCCTTTGTACCAGAATGGATCGCACTTCCACTATTAATTAGATCTAGTTCTAATTGGAATTATAATTTAGTCAAGTTTTATTATATAGGAGCTTTTCATATTTCCACTGTCTTTAGTTTCCTCTCGTAAATTCAGTTTTGAAAATTGAGAACGTCTTTCAACTATGAGAGATTCATTTGCAAAACCCATTCTAAAGTAAAACCACCGAGTACAAACTTTCATTGGAACTTTGAAAGTGAGTGAAAAAAATATTTATTTTATAATAATAGCCACACCTACTCTCTATATTTCGCAAAAACTTACATCACTTCTTACAGAGTCCCTTAATTTACAGATATGTAGAATTCGAAATAAAACAAAGAACAGGTGAAAATTAAAGGAAAGACAAACAGAATGAAAGAGAATCACGTAGGTAACGGAAGATTAACAGTTAATATACTCCATTATTAAAGTTCGCTCAAACCTTTCAGTTTCACTAGAAATAAAAAGAAGGTGGAAATATCGAGTGATCCTAATTCGATAGCCAGGAGCTGTGGAATCATGTCCTAGAATTCGAGACTGCTCACGGAATCTCTATGCAAGGAGAGGACACGAAGATCGAGACTGAAGAGGAACGCATTCCTCGCCAAAGGCAATAAAGATTCACCATCTGGAGAAATTGTTAACCCTTCACACGTTCGCGGACACGCACTAGCCGGAGGTTTTCGGTTCTCGTTGAATTCATCGCCACTGGCAATCACTCTCTCCTTTCAGTCCTCCAGCTGCCTCTTCTCCTTGGTCTTTCCCTTTTTTTCTCCATGATTCCTCCCGTCTCGTTCCTGGAGGAGCTCGTGAGACCAAACGAAGGGGACGGTAGCGTGTACTTACACAGATTCAGGAAAGTATTCGAACAACGTAATTCTTAGTTCAGATACATATAAAGAATTCAGGGTATTAACATGTTCAATGCTGTGGAGGTCGAAAGAAAATTATTGATACTATATTCATTTTACAAGGCAGTAAGTGAATTTTAGAATATTAGAACATTAGAATATTAGAATATTACAATAATAGAATACTCGAATTTGAGAAATTGAGAATTTAGAGTCTTAAAGCCTTAAAATTTTTAAAATTTTAGAATTTTAGAACGTTAGAATCTTAGAATCTCAGAATGGTTAGAGAATTAGTCCACATTTTTTATTTAGGAGAAAGCTCACCCTGACCTCTACCCAGTTACATAGAAGGGAGTAACTAATATTGCTATTTAACACTCCTCATATAAAAACGCACATCGGATGTTTTCTTTTATTACCTAATGTGTCTATCCGGAGGTGTAATGAGATGCAATCATAATTATGAACATTAAACCCCATTGATTTCCGAGAACTAACCGAGAAAAACAGAGAAATTTATGTTGTACTTTTTCAATCATTTTTTAGTGTTTAAGACATAACGGGAATCATGCGATCGACGCATATTCAAGATGTGCAACTACATGTAAAAAAATATGAAATACGAAGTGTAATAAGATTCTTAAAATACGTTGAACATCTAATGAAGAAACAATTATATTATTCTGAGAATTCAAGAGACGGATCAAATAAGACATTCAGATCGTTGCAACAAAAATAAGAAATAGGACTGCTTTCCTGTAACACCGATAAATTTTTTAATTCATTTATCTTGCAAATGAATTGTGTTCCATATTTTTAACTTATGTTTCCCTGTAGAATCACCCTGTATAAGTATATACTCTATGTAAACAGTATATTGCATAATTTATATACATTTAAATTTCAAGCGTAACGTCGTTCGAATACTTTCGTTATGCTCTGTATGCACATACGTACATAAATGCACTGAGTGCACTCGGGGACCGGAGGTATCACATATTTATGGTGAACATAAGCCCACACGAGTAACAGGGGGATCTGTACTAACCACGTCAACGTTCATTGAATATAAGTGGCCTGCTCTGAACGATTAACCATGATACATACACTATATGGTCCGGTTGATTTCGTGGCAAGCGATCGAAGGCATTTTAGGAATTTATCCACCGTTCAGCCCTGACATCGATTCTCTGACTTGGCATTACACGAAGGTTTCGATAAAAATTTCATGATAATTTAACCCTTTCGCTACTACCTATGGTAGTTCTCCATCAAACGATCACTGTCATATCAAATAGCTAACTTTGAAACATGGAACTTGCGATATGACCTAATAACATAAAAATACTGCAAAATGGCATTTATGGTATGTCAATTTTTAAGGCTTCAAGTTTGATGAAAATCACTACATAAAGGTTTCATTAATATTTTTAATGCAAATTGATTAATACTTTTGTGGAATAAATAATTGTTATTGGTATTCATTAGACAATATTTTTATTTCACTTTTCATTTCATTGTAACT